GTAGCATCCAACTGCGCAAAAGTACCTCTTCAAAAAGGCCATGAACACTTTTTTGAAAAAAACTAGTTTTCGCTTAGTGTGGGTTTAAAATTTACAAAAATGCATTTTCTTAAAAAGACCTTCAAATATTTTATTTAAACTTTCTTCACAAATGTAATATGCTTGTTTTTTTAATTTAAAAACGATTCCAAAACTACAGATTTGAAGTTTGAGATTTTTGCGCCGAAATTTGTAGTACAAAATTAGTTATTTAAATAAATAAATAAAAAAGTAGATGGTATAGAATGGCACAGGCTATCTTGCCTTTGTTAGTTTTCTATTCTTTCTACTTTTGACCAGCTTTTCCGATAGGCGTTACGGGGGAGGGGGCGCGCGGGCGGGCAAGCAGATGTTGCGGAGAGCGGGTGGGCACGGAGGCAGTGGATACACGACGAGAGGGACTGTGGGCGTGAGAGTAGCCAATCAGACGCCGAAAAAGCTGAGTTTTCGACGGCGTTACGCTAACCGTCGTTCTTTGTCTCTTCACACGTGTTGGACAGCGTGGCGTGGTTCTACCCTTTGTTCTTTTGCGCCCCACACACAGACGTAACATGTCAAGATTATTCAGTGCATGGCATTCACTTGTATGCAGTAATGCCTTGTGAAGTTGCGTCTGTCAAATGAAGTTGTCCTTCGATCTGAAGTCATATTGCTCGACAACGTATACCGTATCTAGCTTCTGAGAATTTTAAAATTGTAAGCTCGAATGCGTTTGAGATCTTTTGAATTTTACGCCGCGTACTAGTTGCTAGATACCTATAAATATCGAATAACTGCGACGTCATGACAGCAACCTGATAAGACTTCATTTGAATCAGCTACGTTCTCTTTGTAATTCGTATTTACTTCGTTGGGTGTGGCTTTGTTTTGACGCAAGTGTCGATACACTTTTGCTCTTTAATTCCTTTGCACTTGGAACATTGTTTTGTGATAGATATCTATTATATACCGAGTCAGTTAGATATACAGCGGGTGGGATGAGTGATAAAATGCACGCTTTGCAAATGGCTGGTTGTGGATTCGATTTCAAGCGGATACAGATTTCAAATTCGGTTGATTTGACGTGCCGTCACCAACAGAATTGAAATGTCGACCAATATTACCGAGAGTTTCCGTGTTTTCACTGATACTGTTATTCAAATTGTTTGGATAAATTGCGTAAAAAAATCCTATGTCAAATGTTTTTCTTCACTTCTGCGAGTATTATAAAAAATTCTTGACTTCTCTTTTTATCCATTGTGAAATTATTTTTTCATTCTTTTTTCGCTTGACCGTAATTTGTAGATATAGGCCCAATTACGTACGTGTGACAGCGTACACCAGAATTGAGAAAATAAAATTTGATGGAGAAAGCGTACTACTTTCCATTTTAAAGCTCCGTTCCAATACGTGATTTTGTTTTGGAAACAATGTAAAATTCAATTACAAAATTTAGTGAAAAGATTTTTAGTTTTCTTCATCACCTTCATTATTATTATTACTATTATTATTACTATTATTAATATTACTATTATTAATATTACTATTATTAATATTACTATTATTAATACTATTATTATTATTATTATTATTATTATTATTTCGTAATCGGCCAACATGGGGCCACGCGATACGCGCATCCTACTCGGGCTCAGATATGATTATCAGGGTTGGTGCACGTTACTTATTTATTCAGAGGATCAGCGTTTAATGCCTAGGGCTGTAGCATATGCTAAAATGATAATGATGATGAAGATGATGAAATTGATAGACACACATTGATACACATTATTACTATTATTATTTTCCTTATAATTATTGTTACTACTGTTTTAATTTATTACTATTATTAATCCTTTCAGTAAGTAATATTGTAAGGAAGATGGCAGCCTGTTTTGTACAATTATCAAACACCACTGACATAAAATCCCGGAAAGGTGCTACGGAATCACCTCCAGGGTTCATCAGACGTAAGGGAGAAATATAAACTTGTGTAGAATATGAGTCAAATAAACCAGCAGGCGCAAATACAATCCAGGACGAAATAACGCTGCGGCACACGTTATTCACGTGCATTCGGTGCAAACGGTGGGGTCTACATTTTTCAAACGGTTTTTGAGCTCCATGTTTCTGAAGACGTATTACGTAGAATGAACTATGTTTGAAGATACTACGTTTTAGGAGGGTATAAACATCCGGTTACCCAACTCTTTTGAACGGATGATCAAAACTAGGAATAATCTCAATATCTGTTAAAATAAATTCACTTTCTGATGTCGTGAGCAATTTAATGAACAGATCTAAGCATATTCTTTGGCATATTAAAACTTTAATCCAACATATGTGCGTAGGAATATGAATAACGCATGGTTCAAATCCTGTCCGTTCAAAATTGGATTCTAGTACGAAACTTTTTTCACGTTCAAAACAATGATTTACGAATTATGAATTCTCGGCTGTCCGGGTTACGCACACAAATGATTTACGAAGTGCGGCATGTTCGCAAGGGTTCAACTAGTTTCTGTAAATAAATCAAACATTTACAAATTAAATGACAGGACACGTACAATTTATTTCTGACGTACGAAGATTAAAAAAATATGTTTTTGAGCAATTGAAAATATAAATATTCTGCAAAATATTTTATTTATTGAAGAATTTCACTAAATATTTACTGTTTTCTACTTGTTTTTCTCCAATTATTACGTTAAGCAGCTTACACACTTTTACTGTGTTGATGATCGTGATAATTTATTCGTTTTATAGGAATATGCGAATTCAGTCGCTATTTGCGTGAAAATTCTGTACGCCGGCTGCTCTGATCGGTAGTTTTTCGTGGTTTCTCCGATCAACACTAGACGAATGCTGGAGCTGTACCCTAACAAACGGAATACGCAGTTTCCTTCTTCTTCCTTGTCCAATCCTCACCCCTACTTACGCACACACTAACATGCACTATACTATCACACATGCCGGGAGACCGGTCGGGAGCTTGGAGCTTGTCCCGGCAGGGGCGGTGCCCCGCTGGTGAGAGATACTTGGTTGGGGAAATCCCGCAAGCATATGATAGGTAGACCCAGAGGAGGAAAATCATCGTCACGTACCGAGATCAAACATGCGCTACACTTACGGGACTAATGACTTCAGTAGTTGACGCACCAGGAATCAGTAACAACCAACCAACCGTAAGAGTATGTTGAACATATGTATAATTTGATCAACTATGATGTACAATTCATTGACTTAGAGAAGTGGACTTTGTTACAATCTAGAATGTCGAGATTCGGGCAACTCAATAAGCCCTCCCCTTCATTTTCCATGAAAGGACGTTTTTTTTGTAATCTCGTGTTCTTTGTATTCTATTACTTCAATGTCTTTTCCCGCGTTGTGTTTTGCGTCTTCCTCTTCGTCTTCCTCTCTGTCTTCTTCACCGCCGTCCTCTCCGTCTTCCTCTCCGTATTCCTCTACGTTTCCTCTTGCTCTTTCTCTTCATCTTTCTCTTAGTCTTCTTCTTCGTCTTTATCTACATTTCTGTTCGTTTCTCTCCATATTTCTTTTCACGTATTGAGAGAATGTGCCTTTAGGTACTAGAGTTTAATCAACGCCACCTACTACATTTATTTTGGTGGCATTGGTATAATTCCCGGAACATTCTCTAAGGTAGATAGATAGATTTATTAGAGTTCGCTTTGAGCTAATGCTCGGTGGCAAACATGTTAACAATTAAAATTAGAATTACTAAACATTTTCAACATTTACAATTGGATTTACTATTAGAATTAGGGGGTCGATATAATAGTTCCAATTTATTTCTAGCTAACTTTAAATTCACTTCTAGTTTACACTAACACTTCACTACACTACACAATACTACACTACACTAACTGCACTCCTTCACTACCTACACTCCTTCCCCCCACTACACTACACTTACATCACTTCACTGTATAAGGCCAGAAATAATATTATGCACATAATAATAATAATAATAAAGTAATAGTAATATTAATAAAACAATATAATAATAACAGTAACAATAATAATAAAAGTAATAATAGTAATAATAATAATAATAACAGTATATAATAATAATAGTATAATAATAATAATAATAATAATAATAATAATAATAAAGATAAGATGTTCTCAGTCAGTATTATTTGAGATGATCTAGATGGAATGAAGTATATTTTTAAGGTAGCAGCGCCAAAACACGTAAAAACCCGTTTTGGATATTTCGTAGAATCTTAAGATCGGATCCAAAAACAAATTATCAGTTCCCAATCGGAGATCGAATGACACCTCATAAGGCTGTGTTGGTGCACGGGAAGTGGGTCCAACTTACAGTGACCACACGGTACACACATCTGCACACTCGAGGAGTTGCTCAAATATCTGTATAGGGATGAAGATACTCCGGCCTATTGGTCATAAGCATGTAACAGGGTTTTTATTAAATTTTACATACTAATATTGGTTTTTCATTTTTCATTTTATATCTTGAAAATAGATGTTGTGTTTAAATTAGTTAACACGTATAATAATAAATGATTAAATTTATTAACTTACAGAATATTGTCTAATCCATGAATATGCAAAATTTCAGTTGCAGGCTGTCTTTTGTTGCACACGGAACTATTTGTACTACGTTCTTCCGAGGTTTGACGTTTATTTTTTCCTCTAAACAATCTATCCTCTCCTTTCTTATTCATGTCATTTTGAAAATAGAATCTGAGTGTACATGTTGCTTCATTGATGCACATAATTCAGCCGCGCCTCTGCAAAACGCGTGTTCGCGGACCTCCGTTGACATTTCGAAGCACCTCTTCCACCCTCGCGCGCTCTCGCCTTTATATCCTCACCATTTACACCTTTCACACGCCCTCGGAGCGGCCGCTAGTTGGCTGACGCTCGCTGTCACGCGCAGCGCTCGCCGCCTGCGCCCCCCCCCCGCCCAGGCCGCCGTTGAGCTGCGCGCGGAAATGGCCGAGGTTGCGCTAATAAAAACAAGTACATTCCGGTGTCTGCCGCCGCTCCACCGCTCGTTACCTGAGACGCCCGCGACCAACGGCGTCGTTACCGCGGCGTCAGCAGCTGCGGCCGTGGCGGGGGTGGTGGTGGAGGCGCCGGTGCGTGGCGGAGCGGTAGCGTTGGAGGTGGTGGAAGTGGAGGGGAGCGGTGGTGGAGACGATGCGGAGGCGGAGGCGGAGGCGGAGGCGGAGGCGGAGGCGGTGGCGGTGGCGGTGGCGGTGGCGGTGGCGGTGGCGGTTGGCGGTGGCGGTGGCGGTGGCGTGGCGGTGTGGCGGTGGCGGTGGCGGTGGTGGCGGCGGTGACGGAGTCGGTGGCGGGTTGGGGGCGGAGGCGGTGGTGGCGACGGCGGCGGCGGCTGCGGTTGCGGCTGTGGCTACGCTTGGGGTGACTGCAGAGGTGGCCGGTTGGCAGAGGGGCAGTAAGAGGTGGCGACGGGCAGGGCGGTGATGAGAGCCGCCCTCATCAGGCAGGAGAGGTAGAGGGGGGGGGGCGGCACAGACGGCTCCTGCAGCGTAATTTGGGTTTGCGCGGCAACAAGAGCGTGGAGGAGGCCCCACCCGCGTGGGGGCTGTTGCCGGATGTGGTGGGGGATTAGGAAGTGGCCGCGGGAGGAGATAGGCAGCGGCGGTGGGTTGGGTGTACATATTCGCAACAGCGCCGATTGCCGCGAACGTAATACGACAGCAGCGGCTCTGACGGGGTGGCGGAGGAAGCTTGAAGTTACAGAATCCGGAGGCGAAAGTAGGTGCGCGCTTTTGAAAAGGGAGCGAGGCGCTGTGGGTGGCGGGGGCAGGTATTTGCGTTCGCATGGCGATAGTAATGGCGGTGTCCGAGGTTGGCTCGCGGCGAAGCGAGCGCAGAGGCGAAGGCCGACGGTGGGGAGGGGCTGTGTTATCTTTGTTCGGAGTCGCGCTGCTCCCCGCCCCAGCATCGCCCGTCGTTTCCCGTGGCAGCCACCCCGGTGCTCAGAGCGCCGCCAGCAATGGACGCGCAAACTTCCTTCTAAATACGAGAGTGGTCAAATGCCTTTATTCTCGTACAGAGGGTATGAGTACATTTACTCATTGATCGAAGAACAAATATCATTTGATATTCAAGCTGTTTTGTTATATTATTATTAGTGCAGTTCTTGTAAACAATATTGTAATTTTTTTAGTATTAATTATTTCTGTTTTTAGATGTTCATTTTTTCTTGAACGAGACCACATTAGGAGTGTGAAAAGTATCATTGCAGCTGACAAAATTTGGCACCTTTTACTTAGTTGCAGAAGTACGTATTCACAGAGTGATATAAGTAGAACTGAAAAACTTCACTACTGCTGAGGAAAATAAGTGTCGAAGTATTGTGTCCCTTATATATATATATATATATATATATATATATATATATATATATATATATATATATATATATATAACCCATTGCGTAGTTAGAATATTTTGTTTGTGGGTCCTTGATATGGAAAATTCGATTGATGGTAGAACGTCTGCCTTGCTGTCTGCCAGTTCGTTTGTGGTTAGCGCTTAAACGCTAGTGCTTAAATCGTTCATCCGATTTTCTCTAATGTGATATTCCACAATCGATCTGTAGCGGCCAGTAGAATTTAAAATCGATATTTTAATTCTGAGGGGTATTTTACTTGAAGTCCTTCAAACATTTTACAATTTTCAAAAAGTTGCACCGATTTTTTCTTAAATTTTGTTGTCGGATAGCGAAAAGAACGTTTAAGAGATTGGTACGAGACCAATTTTCGTTGAAATCTGATTCTCCAAGAAATTGCGAAAAAAATCAATTTTTTTCGGCCACATTCCGAGAAGTATAATATTGAAAATAGATATTGTGCTCTTTAAAGAAATCTGTTCCTAAAAAACAAATCTTGAAATACTGTCATGTTCAATTTTTCGAAAAATATGAGTAGTTTTCAAAAAAAATAACATAAAAAACAGGTGATTTCGTTCTGTCATAAATTTGAATATAAAATTTGAATACTAATCGGCATCGTTCTAAGGTAAAACAAAAACAAATGACATTTCGTTAAAATCCGCCCCCTAGGAATAAGGAACGGTGTTAGTTGCATTTTCGACTATCGCTCCGTTTTTTTGGATATCGAAAATAGTTCATATTTAAAAACTACAAAATTTAAGGTATATTGTTTCGTGTCAAAATCGTATGTAAAATATGAGCTCTTTAAAAATCTCATGAAGAATTATTTAAAAAAACGAGTATTTTTGCATAATTTATGATTGAATTTTATGCAATTTCCAAAAATATGATTTCTTAAAAACCGTTCCTAACTTTTTCTTTAAATTGCGCCACAAAAAGAAGAAGGGACGCTTAAAAGAATGGCGCAAGTCTCACTCTCTCTGATACTTATGATCTCATAGTGTAGTTCTAGAGCTTTGGCCTTGTTTCCTTGAGCTCTTAACAGGATCCATTTCACGAAATATCTAGGAAGAAAGTACTACAATGTCATCGCATCAAATGTTGATAATGAAAACATTGTAACCACAACACAAGAACAAATCATTGACATTTGAAAAATTCTGCGACATTGTTGCAGAAGAAAGTGTATGTCTTTAAGTTATATATATCGTAAAGTTCAATATCACTAAACAGAAAAGATACCATTTAGAGGAAACAAGAAAACGGGCAAACCTCAGGAAAACCAAAGTCAATTCTACAGGAAGAATGGCATATTCATACATTCAAAGTTTAAGCACGCTTATAGGAGGTGACAGAAATACGGACAGCTGAGCACTTCTACAGGCCTACAGTTGTCAGATGGAAACAAGCAGCAATTCTATATACTGCAGGAGTCCACTGAAGTATTTTCTTCAGGGCCGATTCCAGTGTGGAATTCAATTTTACAAACTATGGTGTGTTCTGCCAATTCTGTCAAAGAGTGTTTTACAAGTCATGCATTTCCTCAGAAGTTTCTTTCGAAGGACAGTGATTCAGGCGACGAAAATCATTTTTTGTATAAAATGTTTAAACTTATTAAATGACTAAATCTTAATAAACCAAAAGGAACAATCCAATTGTATTCAATAACGGTATTTGTCTTCGATGGGCTTTTTATTATCTTTTTTCTGAATGCCCTTACTATATTATAAAGTGCCCACGAGTGCCCACCACTACATTTCCTATCTTATTTTCGTTTCATATTTTTTTTAATGTGAAGTATAATGGTCATCATAATGGTCTATTTAACATACTATCCTCATAAATGTACATATATGTAGTAATTAATTTGCCAACTATGAATTTTCTGTTGTTAAGATAAAAATTATACTTTATATAAAACATATTGGTTGCCCTTAAAGTGTCTATCACTGTGTGATCTACCCTATGTAGGTTGTCGTTGAAGCTGCCTCCGGTAAAATAACACTTCTGAATTTTGAATCTATTAACACTGTTCTAAACATTTTAATAAATGTCCCATTCGCTTTTTTGGTCGATTCTACAACTTTGAGATAAATGTGTAGAATTTTTTCACACTTTTTTTCCTTTACTTTGATAATATTCTAGTATCAACGATTTATTCATAAATAAATAATCATCATCACAATTAGCACAACACACTCGTCGATGTGTTTAATTTTCCCTTCTCCCTACCATTTTTTAAATTTTAATAGCGCATTAATTTTTATGTATTTAAAAAACTGATCAAAATAGCTTCCATTCTGAATTCACGAACAAACAATTAACATTTAACTGCTCCTTCCGAATGATTTTTTCAGTATTGATCTACATAAATATATATATATATATATATATATATATATATATATATATATATATATATATACTGACACTAACATTATTGTAAGTCTCTTTTTGCTGTATTTCTTTGAAAGGTAATCTTGCAAATTTACCTTTTATACACGATTCACACATTATCACTTTTCATATCAGTAATTTCAGTACCCTCTAATTATCTTACCATATTATCTGTATTCATTTCAACAAATATTTAAGATTTATATGCCCTAATCGTCGATGCCATAGGTTGTTTATTAATTGATTCCGAAATGAATATGGAAAAATGCATTGTGACAAACAATCACAGAAGTGCATTAACACAATAAACGGGTACTATTGAACAGAAAGAAGAAACAATTGACACTCGAGCGAGTTAATGAGTATGTCTGCGCCGGATCTCTCCTTTCACCGGAGGAGGCAACTCCGTCCCCTCCAGGGGTAAAACGTTCACTGCACTGACAATTCTAACGAGCATAGCCCAGAAAGTGCAGTCAATGCACTGAACATTGAAATAGAAAGAGTTTAACCTTTTTCTGTTTCACAAATTCCATTCTTTTGACATTAATTAAATTTGTCACACCAATGAATTGTTAAACATTAAAGTGTCTCCCATTTCACATTTGTTTTACAATGTATTTCTTAAGCAAAAACTCTTGAAACTTATAATAATTCACTTTGCAGATAAGATAATGGAGCTGATTTTTATTTGTTTAGTTCTCACCATAGTTTAGGTGTATAATTCATTAATATTTTTAATGTTTCTGATTTTGCGGAGCATTTTTCTTTAAACGATTTATCGCATTAAAGCTTATCTCGACCATGCAAGAATTGTGGTTATAAAATTATAGTAACAAAATCACATCAATTAATAATGGGTGATCACTTGCACTAGCTTACTAGTTTTGTTACGTTTTTGGGTAAAAAGAGTTCTATTGTTTCCCCAACATAAAACAAAACTATAGAAAAAATTATCTTCTCCCACGACTCATTGTCAGTACTTATCCGGTTACTGCCTTGTCAGTGAAACCTTGGCCATATCCTTTACTTGACCACATGTTTCCACTCCGGACTTCCAATGTCTATCCTTTATGACGTATAGTGACGTAGTATGTTTTAGATTAGTACATTTGGATGTCTACAACACTTCAAATATACAAGGACGAGAAAAGAGTTAGATTTCAGAATGAATCACGAAGTTAATCAAATGCGGAAGAAATGAAAAGTATTTTTTAATACTGCATTCATTGAATTACGCGTATACGTGATATTGTGAAAGAAGATTGTGATAGAAAGACGTCAGCAGTTCATCAAACACAATGAATAATTTTCACGAGATGAAGTTTTTCTATTTCCTCTGCGCATTCGCATTTGTCAGCAAGCCTTCCAACACAAAGGTCACCATTCAGAAATGAGTTGTGGGCAATTACTCACAAAATTAATTTTAATGTCAGTTTCTGTGTTATTTCTTCTCGGTTGAGATTTTTGTGTCTCGGGGGGTTATTAAAGTACGTTTTATTTAACATTTTCGATATGACTATCCGTACCATTTGATTCCAAGATACTGATTTTATTTAAATCTTTATTTGAATTACTGAAATCACGAAATGGCGGTAAAAACCGAAAACTAAACAATTATCTCCTGTCGACACGCTTCCTTCATGTGACGGCTTGGTAGAGAAAGGATGTGTGCAATGCACGTAATACATTTTACTTTCTCGCTACGGAGAGAGAAAATTATGTATTGCTGCGTGGAAAACTGGCGAACGTTTGGCAGAAAACCTCTTTTTACAGAGCCCTGGTAACGAAAAAATGGTTAAATGCAATTGTTAAATTTAGAAAATCAGATACTTTAGAAGCCATAATCCATGTTTTGTGGTTTCTTGAAATGAATGTTTGTCTGTCTATGTGTCCGTCTGTCTGCGTATAATGCTAGAGGCTAAACCATTTCGCCGATTTTCTCTTAAATTGTTATTCCCTACTCCCTCTACTACGTAGCGAGAGAGTAAACATAATTATTGAAATAATTGAATAGTAATGATGTAAAATACTCCCAAAAATTAAAATATTTGTAGCAAAATCAAAGAACGTCGACAATAGCCAGACTAATTGGGGAATTTCCATTTTGGTGGAAATCATTTGAACGGTTTATGCAATAGTTTTGTCAGACAGACGAACCGTTATTTAAATACACGAGCATTTTCTGCGTCATGACGTCCATTTTCATTATAATTTTGACATCCATTTTTGCAGCTTTTTATACGTTTCCCTGAACTAAATATATACTACGTCTAAGAGGAATTAAAAACAGCTGAGTTATTCCATGTCCTTACAAAGCCTGCATTATCTTCACTTCCTTGTACAAGTGTGTTATGGCAAAGGTTTCACTTCCCTATTCCTCTCTTATTAAAGACCACTTACAAGTGAAATAAAACAATTACTTTATACTTTTTTCTGTAGGACTTCGTAGAAACATGATACTCTTTTTTAATATTTTGAACATTTGGAGCGATTCGGAGTGCCGCTTGTCATCCAGAAAGTCTCTGACCTTTATTCGTTTTATAAAGACGTTCATGGAGAGTTCGTTTCATCTCCCACATGTAACACCTGCGTTACCATCTAGTTTCATTGAAGAAGCCCGGAGGGAATATGCGTCTAGAGCACCTGGGCTAGAGAGAGCTCAAGGCGAAGGGGGGAAAGTGGTCGCCCCGTCGGCGGAGGATGGCGCCGGTGGCGCGGAGTCTTCGGCGTGAAGGCGAAGTGCCGGCGAAGGGCGGCGAAACGGAGATGCGAAAGATAGCGTTACGGCAGCCAAGCCCCGCCAGCGGAAATAAAAAACACGTTGAGGGCTGCAGTGCCCTCCCGGCGCAGCGAAGGCATGCGAGAAGAACGCGGCAAAAAGAAAGTGAATGGAAAATCGAGACGTGGGCGCTATCTCCCCCGGCGAAATAGATATAAAACAGTTTGGAAATGCATGGGGGCGGGGGAGGAGACGAGCCGGTCGCCCAGCCATGTAAAACGACTTCCATTCTCACCTCACTCGATAGGCGCGCGCTCCCTCGTCACCGGAGACCTTACGATAAGAAAACATATTCAATTCGTCTGGCAAATCCCGGATCGTCTTCTTCTTCAGAATAGAACTGGGATATCTTACAGAAAATTACCAATGTTCTAAATGAAGTTCAACAAATGCGTTCACCTCTTAACTGGCTCTGTGGCTATTCTCTCAAAAAGTTCTACATACACCATTTATTGATACATCAAGTTTGATAATTATGTTTCGAAAGAAAAGCACGTATAACATGACTTATAAATGTATATCAAATGTTTAAAATTATTACCTCTAGAGTACAATCCATTTTTCAGATTAGTTAATTGTTGGATCCTTTTTATAAAAAGTTGTCTGCAGATGCGTTCTTCATTCTATATTGAGATGAAACATTTTATGAATAGGCCGATTCTGATTTGTGTTAAGACAACAATATTTTTACACTAACACTTCAGACTTTCTTATAAAGTTGTTCACACAATACTAATACGACAATCGCATGCTCCGTTTCAATATTTTTTTTACAAATATCAGAAAAGTTTAGAATATCAAAAACTACTTTTTGTAAAAATTGGGAATAATATTATATTGTTAAATACTGTCGGCAAATTCAGAATATCACCAAATTCAATTAGATATTTTAATAGGGAAATTGAAAATTGAAACGAAACATTTCTTTGTTATATAACAGATCATAGACAACATTATTCCTTTTCCGCGGACTGATAGCTGTTTGCGAGTTTATTCGCCCATTTGGCGCAGGCCTCTGAAACAAAAGAGCCGCGGCGCGCGGGCGGGCGCAACGCCGAGCGAGCACTTGCCTTGTCGATATGCACGGAGCTCATAAGACGAGCGCGAGGCGCCAGCGACTGTTCATCCCTCCAGGCAGAAAACTCAATTTGGCGCCGCCCCGCCCCGCCCCGCCCCGCCCTGCTCCGCTCCTCTCGCTGCGCATTTGAATGCGCCGCGCAGCGCCTCGGCGAGCGAGCCCCCAGACGCGCGCCGTCCCCCCGCTGCGGCGAGCAACAAGGCGAGCGCGCCATGCGTGCGATCGGAGGAATTATTTTAACCTCTTCTAGCTGTTGTTGTTTATTTGGGTTTCTCATGGCAAACACTTATTTTCCTATCCTAAATCCAAACGTGGAATTCGCGCAATCTGCAGTAACATCAATAGAAACGTTTAAAATGATAACTTCAAGCCAATTAGTGCCGATCCGGTGACCTAGATCGCTAAGGCAGTAGTGCCGTAGTGATCTCGTACCCAAAGATCGCGGGTTCGAGTCCCGCCTCGGGCATGGTTGTATTGTGTTCGTTCTTACGCCCCCTATCATCATCATCATCATCATCATCATATTGTGTCATCCTCACAGTTACAATATCGTTACAAGCCATAGAGGACTCCAACTACGTAGAAGTTGATGCGACCTTAAATATCAAAAAACAAACAAACAATTATTTATCATTTACATAACATTTCTAAAAATACGGTGTCAAAAAGTGACACAAATGAAATAATTTTTCACGATAAATGTGTTTTCTTTCTTCGTTAAAATACATTCAAATTATTTTTTGACATAAATCACTAGAGGCATATTATTTCACTTTCACCAAGGCTTATGATGCAAACCAACCTATATTTTGCTTTCTCGCGATTAAGAAGCAACTTTTTAAAGAGAGAATGTTATTGAATGTTGCGCGCAACATCGGCTTTTTTTACAGAAAAACTTATTACAGGGCCCTGGAAACGAAAAAGTAGATAAATATAGTTGCTAAATGTAGGGAAAAACTTCTAACACATGGTGGTGGCCAAGTTTTATGGATCCTTGATACCGAAAATTCGATTGACGACAAAACGTCTATCATTCTTTCTGTGAACAAACCGTTCAGCCGAGTTTCTGCCAAATTGATATTTTTAATCAATCTGGCTGATGAAACGGTCCTTTGTATTTGAAATCGATGTTTTAATTTGAGGGCGGGTACTTTACATGAACCCCCTGGGACATTTTCAAAAGTTTAAAAAAAATGACGCCATTGATTTGATTAAATTTTGTTGTCGGATATTCTAAAGGACGTTTAAGAGAATGGCGCACAACTCATGTTGATAAAAACCCTGATTTTTCAAATACTGCAACATTCAAATATTTTCGACATCTTTCTACAACTACAATTGTAAAAATACATTTTTTCTTAGTGAAATGTGTTAATCAAAAACATATCTTCAAATAAGATATTGTCGAATTTTTCGAAAATGTGTATTTTGGAGTAACTAATCGTCAAACTTGGTCGCCTGGTCTCAAAATCCTGCGCTTCGTGATAGCAATTTTAGAGGTGTTTGGATGCTACTATGCTATTTATTATAATTGTTTATTCTATTTATATTAATGTTTTACTATTTCATTGTAATGTTCTTTAATTGTGTTAAATGTGAAAATGAATAGTTGAATTGTCATTGTTGGTTGTAAGACTGCAATGGTAACGGAAGGCGATAAAGACGACTGCCTTTCGTTCGCGGTAATATAAACAAATAGTTATATTTATGTTTGTAGACTATTACAGTACCACAGTTATTAATAATTAGACAATACTTTTCAATCTATTTACACCCTCGCAGGGGATCGCATGCCACTGTGGCCAGCGCGGAGTACGCACTCTAGTATTTGTTGACCGCAACTCAGAGCGGCACTTGCTAGCCATGGCCAACGCGAGGGGTCAGTCCCAAAGGGTTGTGATGCGCTACCACACTTCAAGGAAGGGAAAAATACACCGGACAGCTGTCCCGAGCTTCTTCGTGATTCAGTCGCCGGCGGGGGCAGTGGTAATTTGCAGATATACAGTTCTCAGGAACGAAATCTCCTTTTGATAGTACGTTCGAAGTAGAATTTGCATAGTGAGGCGACAAGAAATTAGCGTTAAATCATCCAATGTAATGTTCACGAGAAATAGTGGGGAGAAGTTGCGAGTTGAAGAAATCAGTGGTGAAATTTGGACAAACTTTGGTGGTCAAAGCTGTTATGGAACTGTGAGAGTAATTTATGCAATCTGAAAGGTGGTGAGAGCTATTATGTAGTCATCAGAGTTTGTGAATTAATTGTGTGCCGAAAGCGACGCCAAGAGTCACCAACGCAGTTAGTTGTTTTATACGTGCGAGGAGTGTGGGTGCGTCGGCGTTCGACGCGCGGAGGACCGGGGAGGAGAAGCCCTGGCGTGTGTAGGAGCGGGACCCCGTTCCAGAAGTGGAAGCAAGAAAGACGAAATTGGAAGTTGGTATTTGGATTGGATCTGGTGGTCGCGGCGAGCGTGGAGGCGGTGCCCGGCGAAGTGGACAGAGGCGGCGCGGTAGTACTGAGGCGCAAATACCCAGCGCGAGGAGAGAGGTTTTGGCGCGGGGCTCGGCGACGGCGTCCGACGAGGCCAGGAGCGAGCGACAACCAGCACAAGGTAAAAGAGCTGTATTTGCGACGGTAGTGCTTTCTTTCTATCGTTCTAATATTTAATAGGCTGCCCGAATGACGCCGCGTCCATGGCAAAGATGCCGATGTTTCGATCGCCATTCTGAGGGCGTAATGCCCTGAGGAAGGTCGCAGAATGGCGACCGAAACGTCGGCACCTTCGCCATGGACGCGGCGTCACCCGAACAGCCTAGTAAATACTGACTCCGGCTGCGGAAGCCTACGCTCTCAGTTCGTTCAAGTGCGCTGAGGGCTACTCGCGTCACCGCTAGAATTGTTATGAGTAGCGATCGAGCCTGTGGATTTTATGAATTGAATAAATAATTTGACGAGATATTCAGGGAGAAAGTAATGTAATTTAGGTATTTGAATGAGACTACCAGCAAACTATGTGCTCACGGAATTAAACAAAATACTTTCAAATTTTATAACACATTTTCTTTAACTTTGGAGAAAAACTCACTTGACGTTTCTAAATTTTGTAAATAGTAAAAATGTGTTTAATTATTGCTTTGCTAAGACATTCATTCACGAGGAAGTAAAATGTGTATTACTGAATAATTTAATTGAACTTGAATGAGTACTCTGTGTGAGAATCTCGACGAAACTTGAATGTATTGCAGTTTTATTTTACATTTTTACCCAACCAGCTACTAACTGTGCACGTTAGGAGAGTTTTTTCACAGTTTGTCTTTTAAAGAAAGCTGCTAAAAAAATTCAAAGAAATTCTAAGTGTTTCAAAAGAAAGTTGGAAATTTGCTAAACATTAGAGATACGAAATGAGATTCATACTTCAAATCGAGTCAATATGTGTGGTTTTTTTTAATTTTTTTTAATTTTTTTTTTATTTGTGTGTATTGTATCCAGTGATTGAGAGAATATACGCCCCACGTTTATTTTGAATTCTGTGTATTGGGTTTCCTTTCTCACACCCGAAAGATTCTGCTAGGCTGTGGTAAATACAAGTTCACATCGAGTATTCAGATGTGTCATCCCATTATGTTATATTTATTTATTTAGAGAGAGTATATAAATATAGATAAAATATTTAATGTATGTTTTTACGCAGGATTAGTCAATAAAAACGTTCATCTTGAGCACATTCTAAACAGTTTTATTCATTGAGATGAAATTTCACAGAACGATTCAAGGCGTGGGGGCTTATCGTTTGTTTTTATTAGATTTTTGATACCATTTTTTTAATTTTTAAGGATAATGGACTAACTTAGGTATTTAGATGGAACATTACTTTTTGACACGCGTAGTGTGTATTTTGATTAATAAGTAACAGCACAAGAGTATAAAATCAGGGTACGGTAGTGTAGCGACCATGCCCACATTGGTCGATTTTGTTGTTCAAGAAACGTCCAGACGAAGCCCTCGGGTGATACAAGCATTTAATACACTCAACCGCACAAGCATTGATGATACTCAAAATCAATCGAAAGGACAAGGATATCAGCGATACGTTGTCAATAACATCGTTCTTCAGAAAAATTCGATCTTCAAAGACGCATCTTCGATTCTTCGACGCATTCTTGTATAATGTATTTTGCGATATAAACGCCACTAAAAAATGAAGCCGCAAATGTTTGAAATCATTGTGCGACAAATTGCCCGGCAAGACAGTTGTCACTGGTTGGAATGGTATCAGTAGATTTCCTAATGACAGCAAAACACAGAAATACTATTTTCTGCGTCATTGTAAAAGTAGTTCTATTCCCAGGAAAGTGTGTATTCAATTGAGTTGCAATTTCTCTATTAATAGAAATACTTACACTAAATATTTTGTTATGTAACTCTGCAACTTTCTCACATATGCACTCTCCTTAAACCATTAATAAAACAATAACGTTTTCTGAAATTGTGTTGTTAATAACACAAACTTTGTCGAAAATGTCTAAATTTTTCTCAACTCGCCACAGAAACAATGTGGCCCGGGGCCACAAATTCTGCTCTGCTCTCTCTACGTCATTCACACTTAACATGCGACCAACGTTTCTTTCGCGATTTCTTTCGCAATGTATACTTCCGTACCACTATGTCGATTATCTGGTAGTGGTTGCAAAATGTGCTACACATTTTAATTTCGAAATCTTGCCGCACCGCGAACTTCCTTATCTACTATAACACTGGATACTATAACTCATTAGTATGTATAATTATTCATGAAATAACACATGCTGTATTGATGAAGTTGTTTTTTAAAAATCTAAACTTTGTAAATGAAACTAAATATACTGAAAGAATACTGTAGTAAATGTACTATTTAACATTAATAATAATAACAATAATATTAACAATAAAAAGAGAAATCCAACTACTATTACTTTAAAATTCTTTTTCCCTTGAAAATAGTTTATTTCATTTATGCTACATTCTGATCATTAACAAACGAAACAATAATGAAGCTGTAATCATTAAAAAATGAAACAAATATTCACTTTAGTAAATATATTCTAAAACTTTTTTCGGAAACTACATGCGTCTACTAACAAATAGTGAACTGCTGTTAAGCTGGAAAAGTCATCTGCAAAAACCACGTTTTCCCTATACAAAGAAGTTTGGGCTATTTACTTGTTTTTAAAATATAAATTTCTAAATAAAAATCTAAATGTATATTTCGGTTCTATTTGTTGGGAAAGGACAATGCGAATTGTTGAGTAGTTTATGATTTATTACGATTTATGTACCTCCATCCGCGTGTATTTCGACACTTAGCGGAATGAATTTCATTTATGGTTAGTACGGAAAGTCAAAAAATTAAAAACAATACTGTTGTGTCGTGTAATGTATTGTGGCTGATATTCGGTAAAGATATTTTAATTTTCACGGATTGTTTTGCTTGGTTTTTCGACGGGGTGCACGAGCATCTAAATCATTGTTGGTGTAGTTTATTAGAATATTGTTCGGCTCTGGTTGCTTCTAAACGTCAGTACATACTGTCGATTAGTTTAATTTTTATTAGGAATTATGTGTGTTTTTTTACAGTAGTGTAATGCATAATAATTGTTTGTGGGAATATTAAATGTTGAACAATGCAAAACAATATTGTAGTATTGTTTATGTCTGGTAATTTCTGTGCCAAGAAAATATAAATTAGCTGGATAGTGTTTTCAACGAGTCGTTCCTTACTCCTTGCTTATGATCCTGTCCGATATTTCAAGAAATGTTTTTTTCATTTTCGTAAAACGGTAAGAGTAAAAAAAGAATGTTTATATATTTGTATCGCCCATAAATAGCACAATATTTTGTATACAAAGAAAACATTTTTGGTCAACTGGCTTTGCCAGCTTAACGTTATGGCAACAATGTCACTAAATACAAAAAAAAAGTTGGAACAAAAAAATGATATTTGGAAAGCTATTAAATAGCCCAAAATGTTGAGTATGTACGGAAAATGTGGTCTTGAAAATGAACGGACGTCAACAGAAACAAGGAAGCAGGAAAAATGAACTATAACAGAAAATGAGATTAGGAAGAGGAACTATCTCTTATCAATGGGAAGGAAAACTTGATAGTGAAGTTAAAGATTAAGTAAAGACTGCTGTATCTTTTAAAGTGTGAAATGCTGCTCTGACATACGGAACAACAACATTTTGAAATGCGGAAATCCCGAAAGGAAGAAAACATTTTCCTCTGAACTACAAGAAACACATGTTTGTAAAACAAGCCAGCTCTAGAATGTGCTTCACATCCAAGCTCTTTGCGTAATGTGTGTTGGGAGATAGTGGGCCTGTCCAACCGTGAGCAACACTTACTAAATCATTTCCTCTCGCTCCTGACTTACCCGAGGAGCGCGGGGTTTGGAACAAGAGTTCCTCCTCCCAAATGCGGCGGCTCTGGGATTACACAACAGGGAGTGCGCACAAAGTTACAGGATGAAATGAAATTGTTGTATTTGGATTGTTTAAGTCACATAAGTAATATTTACCATCGAATTCTCTCCCAGGAAGATAGGCAAAACACAGGATCTATAAATTATTTTTTCTCTTCTGTTTTTAGATTCTGCAAATGTATCTATTACTAATTCTCCAAAATTAACTGAGTCTCGAACCAAAACTCTTTCTAATTATAACATACAAAGTGTATTCAATCTCTCTTCAGATATGGTATTTCTTAAAAATGTCTTTAATCTTTTCAAAGCTCTCTCGGATTCTACAGTTGTCATTAGAGTAGAACAGATTACAGTTAATAGTTTAACTGGTCCAGAAAACATCCAATAAGTTATTATTCACTAACAATTCCAAAAGTCTTTCGGCACAGCCCAAGTCACTCCTTTTATAAAGCACATTCTGCTCAGATTATAGTTTGCTAGCTCACGAACGGATAGTACTGTAAAACGCGATCAACCTTTTGTTGGGGGAAATATTTCTGGCATTGTTGGAACATTTTACAATCAAAGAGACACAAGGTGAAATGCTCCGTAAAATTAAAACGGTCACTTACCCAGTGATATTTTCGAACAAAAGAACGATTGCCATTTCTATCAGATTGTGTAATTTTCATATTAGGCCAAGGCCAATTCTCTTCAAGCACAGCCTCGCATCATAATCAAGATTGACGCTTTCAGGCATTTGACAGAACTGGAAACCATTCTCAATCTCAACGCACATTAGGAATGAAAGACGCGAACTGAACGCAAAGATCGGAACACAGAGCACTCGCATAGCTTGTCTACGGATCGGAAAGGTTATGCTGACCATGCCGATTGCACACTATTGCATTAAATGCTTGTAAAGGGGAGAGATCAGTTAATCAGATCACCAGCAGATAGCACTGGCCTGGACGTACGTCATGTGAAAGTAATATTGTAAGTTAAGAAATGGATCAATACTTAGCGTCGGGCAACGAGGACGCTATCTCCCAGACTGCTGGGCGGCGGCCGTCACAAGACGCCATTTTCTCAACTTACGCTGCCATTTGAGCACTCCTTGGCGGCCATTTCATGTCAGTATGTTCCGTAACATCACCGCGTTTAGGGCACAAAGGAGAGTGTCCGCAACCGATCAGAACCGTTCTACAGAACAAGAGGGAGTATGAAAGCTAAAGATGCGTTCATCTCGAAAACAACGCTAGAAACCTACAAATATTATTTTAATTAGTGCAGGGGGGAGACATACTGATCTCAGTGGGAGGGGGGGCAGTGTCCCCAGTATTTATCAGCAGCCACCGCCCTGCCTTCTTCGGTGTGATTTGCGCGGCATCGGGGCCTGCGTGTGATGCTGGTGCCAGGATCAGACGCAAGAGTAAGGTCCCATGATCTTGGAACGTGCTAAGCTTGCAAACCATGGAATGTTCCATGTTAACGAGCGTCTAAAGGCCATTCGCACACTGCAAGTCTTCTGTAAGAACCGATAAGGTAGGGTAAGGAAAGAAGAAATATTCTGTTTGCGAGAGAGAGGTTTTGTTGCGAAGGAACCCACAAAAATCTTCCTATAAAAAAGTGGGGCTAAAATAGCTCATATCTTCTTGCATTATTTTTAACTTTCCCGTTATATTACAGTACTATATAAATCTGCAAACGCTTTTTCAACCTGCATTTTTTTCCTCTCCGAGACCCGAACTCAGTCACAGACATTTTGTCGCCAATCAATTTTTCAGGGCCCACAAAACATGAATTCTGGCAACAACACGTGTTAGAGAAATTTTATTTCTCTATAGAGTAAACTAGATTAGTTAGTTAAAATGATGGGGAGAGATTCTGGAACTCAAGAAAACGTGCGCAGATAATCTTTTTCCCCTACGTCACATACAGTTTTTAGTGTTTTTTTCACTGAATAAATCAAAATCAAAAATCAAATATTTATTTCAAGGATTCATAGGGAGGGACTGGCAATAAGTTATTCTGCCGAAAATTCGCTGTTTGCCGGACCACGATTACGTAACGTTCTCTTCTTAC